TGCAGAATCCGCAAGATCATTTAAAGGACGAGAGATGCCAAAAGCTTTGCAGGAAGAATCCTTAAAGATGATCAGTGCTGGGTCTACCCAAGAGAGGAGTCGGTGGCTTGCTATCCAGAGATATAAATTCTCTGAGGCAGAAGACAGAATTGTACTACCCAAATGTAATGAGATGTATTATGCTATTAGCAAAGGCCATGGAGCCCTATTTGATGAAAATAAAAAGAATCCGAGTATCTGTCTTTAATTACCATTTCAGAATAATGATTGTTGTCTTTAGTATTGATATTGGAAGTCAGAAAAGAGGCAAGCTACAGGATGTTTAATAATAATATGAATAATAATAGCGAAAATTACCCTTTTCTTCCTCTTTAGTTCTTAAGGGCAAGGCTCATGTTTATTCTCATCAACCCCAAAGTCTCTTTTTAAATCTGGGTTTATATGGTAATCAAAATATTAGTTTTTAAATTGTGTTATATACCACATATACATGTAGGGAATTTTCACATTAGATTTACATTACGAATGAAAATCAGAAAAAGGGGGAAATAAGCATATTTCTTGAATATTTTCTACACACCAATTCCTGTTACATGTGTTGTCTCATTAAGTCTCACAGAAATCCTTTAAGGTACACATTGCTGTCACCATTGACTTTTAGAGATGTGGAAATTAGCTCCAGTAGCTTCTAATTAGTGGGACATCACTACTCATAATGACCAGGTGTTCAGACCAGGTGACAAGAGCCAAATGCTAGGTATTCAGGACTTTTGTTGATGATTTGAAATTGGCCACAGTAGGACTATTTAAATGCGAAAAATCAACAAAGGCTAAAACACAAGGCTCCATCTACCCACTCACCCCCATACACACACTCCTAAGAGTTAGCTCATTAGATCACTACCGGCAACTTACTAAGTTTTACAGCATGGATTCAAACACTGCAGGCCACACAATACACAAACCCAGTTATTACTTCCATGATTACAAAGTCTTTGGATTTTTTAAAAGTTATTAACAATCAAATATAGAGCTAAAAATTCTTTACCAGTGGCTACATTAATGGTAATATCTATCAATAGAACTACCATATTCCCCATGGAGATACTTTATAATAACCTTCAATAAAATACTAGTGATGTCTTTAAAGTGAATCCGAAGCATATATAAACCATAGATAGAGAAATGGATTTTGAGCTCCTACTTAATTTTAGCCCCAATCTAAGAAAAATTCACTTTTTTTTTTTTTAGTTAAAACATCTTTGTTTATAGTCAGGAACAGTGAGAATTACTCATGAGATACTGCACAGTTGTTTTAGCACATTGTTTACATATTTGCGTGTATCACCACGTATGTATTTATCGGTGTTGATGCTTTTTCTACACTAAAGTACTAAGGGACCATAACTGTTTAGTGTGCTTATTAATATCATTGCTTTTTTCAGTTAGGAGGTTAATAAATGCAAGAACAACAAAGGAGACGGTAAAGAAAGAAGGGGGTGGAGGGAGAGAAAGGAAGAGGACGGAGGAAGAGGCAGTACGATCATGATGCTTTCAAAGTGTAACACGCAAGTCTTGCTTTATAGCATGGCTCTGCTCAATGCTTATCCAATGACATGATCACTGTGGTGGCCAAATGTGGCAAAGATAGTAGAGTAGCATCCAGGGTCTCAAAGTCTTATTTTAAAATAACCAAACCCAAACCAAACTCATGGTCATTGAGCCGATGCAGACTCATAGTCACCCTGTGAATCTCTGAGACGGTGACTCTTGACAAGAGTAGAAAGCCCCATCTTTCTCCCTCTGAGTGACTGCTGGTTTCAAACGGCTGACCTTTTGGATGTGGCCCAAAGATACTATACCACCAGGGCTCCTCATCTTTAAACAAACAGCCCTTCTTCTTAAAGGGCTTCTCTTCTTAGGAGAAATGGCTATCTGAAGGAGGCTTTTGCTAAGTCCACACAGAAGCAGCACACCAGCTTATGCAATTCAAGATTCTAAAAACCAAACTTGTAGAAGGGGATGGATGGTATTAAAGTTTCAATTCTGAACACCGCGCTTTCACAAGGCTTCAGATGACAGTGAGCACCCAAAATCTATTTACAGTCCCCCTCTCCCCCACCCCGCTGGGGGTTAAACCCCTAACAAATTCCTTCTGACTAGGGACCAGCGATGGGAAAGGCCTTTTCTAAAAAGTACCTTGCAAGGTGTCTTACTGCCAATTGTCGTTAGGTAAGAATGTGACACTTTGTCACTGATCTTCCTCTTGAGACAATATATCCCGTTTTAAATATTTTCTGCTTTGTTTTTGACTGAAGTTTTTATTTGTTTCATTGTGCCCTTGTTGTTGAGCCCTTTGTTTGTAGTCGCTGTTGATTTTGTGTGGTTTTCGGTATGTGAAATCCAGACTAGGTAAACCTATAGAGACAACTTATGTAAAGGGATATAAGGGAAGAGGCTGGCTGGAAATGGGGACCTAGCAATAATGAGTACCAAGGAGAAGAACCGTCCTGGGATTGACTGTGGTGATGGTTGCATTGCTTTTATGAAGCTGGTTGAACTGTTGAAATGTATGATATGTGATTTGTATGTCTGTGAAATTGTTAAAAACAAAATAATTTTAAAGATAAAAAGCAAATAGATAATATGCCATTGATAGGTGCCACTCCTGATATTATAGCTCAAACGGTCAATTCTTAACAGTTTTATACATAAAATGATGCTTGTAAATTAGAAATTAGACTTCTGTTCAAAACAGAAATGTAGATTTATACGAGGTCTTCAAAATGTTCATGGAAAAATCCCATTATCCTTTTTGAAAAATAGTTCTATAGACATATAATTCAAATATATATAATTCAACAGTTCAATCATATTAAAAAGAGTTGTATAATCATTACCATAATTAATTTTAGGATATTTTCTTCTTTTATTTACTCCTTAGCTCCACAATTCCCCACTGAGTTAGTTTATTGTGCCAACCTGGACAATAAACACATGTGGGTTAATTAAAGATATAATTCGAGAGATAAATGTCTCGGTGAGCCTTGCCTTTGGAGTTCTCGTGTCTCTTGCTTTGTGATGGTCAGATCAGGGTGCAGTTACCTTGGCCAGTTCCCTGCTTCAGCTGGCAAGGCTCACTTCCTGCAAGACATCCCCAAGGAGAAGCTGCAGGGACCTAACCCGATGCAGCCCTGGGTACTGGAGCAGCTGTGTGGAGACCCCTGCCAGTGCTGAGATGCTTACACATTCGCTGACTCAGCATTCCTCCTGCAGTCAGCATCATTATGTGTGTTTTGTGAGACTGAGGAGGACTTTGTGGATTGGTGTTGGACCTATGGGTTAATGGGTTAATGTAGGACTTGTGGGCTTGGGCAGCACTGGGTTGGGATGTTTCCTTGATGTGCACTTAACCTTTATGTAAAACTCTCTTATACATGAGTTTCTGTGGATCTGTTTCTCTAAAGTACCTAGACTCACACACACACCCTCGCCATAATCCAGTTTCTGTCACTATAGATTGACCTCTCCTTCATCTCATAGGGAGAAAAACATATTAAAACAAAACAAAAACCAACAACAATGACAAAATAAAACAGAGCAAAGCCTCTATCAAAAAGAAAATGTAAGCCAACAAATACACAAATATGCAATGGGTCAAAAGGGAAATCAAGTGACGAGGTAGCACCTTAAATCTAACTACCTCTGCAGCAATCTGCCCTACAAAGCATGGCGTTTGATAGTAAAAGCACTTAAGTGCCTCCTTCATAGTGAGAGATAATTCACTGGAAGCTTAATTCACAGGGGACCCTGAAATGGATCTTTTAATTCCATTTTCAGCAGAATTTTAAAGACCTCTCATGTTAGAACAGCAGCTGAAGGCACATTACCTTGATCCTTTGTTTTAACTTTGACACACTTTTCACATTTCTTTATCTTTTTTGTTTAATGGAAATTTCTTTAGTCTTGCTATATTATTTTGTGTATCTTGTGTTTATTCCATGCTGTTTACTTTGACACTTGCTCTAGCAATATAATTGAGCTGGGATATGATAGATTAAAAATTGCTGGAGGTTTGGTCAAGGAGGAGTGTTGACATTGACTAGTACTAAATTTCATTCTCTAAAAAGGCATCATGATTATAGCTATATCTTATACACTTCTAAAATGTCATAACTATAATTTACTATGCAATTTAGCCTCCAGAGTAAAACAATATTTTGCATGTTTTAGTACCAATACTGCTATATGCCACATGTGCCGCATGTTATATAATCAGAGTTCTAGTCTGAACTTTCTTTTACAGTTTTATTAGCACTTATTCACATATCATACAATTAAATAGTTCTATCATATCAAGAAGAGTTGTACAATCATTACTGCAATCAATTTTTGAACATTTTCTTCATCCTTGTACTTATAATTAGTGCAATTTTTTAAAACTGTGGTAAAAATATACACAACACAACATTCTCCAATTAAACACCTCCTGCATGTATAATGCAGTGCCATTGATTATACTCTGTTGTACAACCATTATTGATAGCCTTTTCCAAATTTTTCCACACTGTACACATAAACTCAATGCCTCCTAAGTGAAAAACTCTTCCTCTTTCACTCGTGGTAACCATGGCTCAACTTTGGTTTCTTTCTTTCTTTTTAGTATTTTTCTTGATGTAAAATTCACATATCATACACTTCCATTGTTAAAATGAGTTTATATGCACCATTACAATCACTTCTACATGTTAGATTCTAACATATCAAAAAATAATAAAATGTATGGCCAATCCCACTGCTCTAGAAAAAAGGCTATCAAGAAAATAATCATAATAAGTGAATGGAAAAACTATTTCCCAAGTATTACTTTTTTGGTTTTAAAATGCTTGTACACATTTATGTATTTACTAAAACATGCCAAAACCCAACTTGGAAACTTGCTAGTTGCTAATGTTGATGTTTAAAAAATGAACATAAAGAAAATTTCTTTTCAATTTCAGGGGAGGCTACGGTCATGAAGTAGGGGAACGTCCTTGGATTGTAGGAGACGAGAGGATTGCGGGCCTTATGACTGACATTGTGGGTAAGCAAAAATTTCAGGCAAGCTTTTCCAAAAGAACTGTTTGGTTAAGCATATATTATTTATTTATTTATTTAAAAAATCATTTTATTGGGGGCTCATACAATCCTTGTCACAATCCACACGTACATCCATTGTGTCAAGCACATTTGTACATTTGTTGCCATCATCATTCTCAAAACCTTTGCTTTCTGCTTGAGCCCTTGGTATCAGCTCCTCATTTTCCCCCTTCCTCCTCAGTACCCCCTCGCTCATGAAGCCTTGATAATTTATAAATTATTGTTATTTTGTCATATCTTACACTGTCTGACGTCTCCCTTCACTCACTTTTCTGTTGTCTGTCCCCCAGGGAGGAGGTTATATGTAGATCCTTGTAACCGGTTCCCCCTTTCCAACCCACCCTCCCTCCACCCTCCCAGTATCGCCACTCTCACCACTGGTCCTGAAGGGATCATCCGCTCTGGATTCCCTGTGTTTCCAGTTCCTATCTGTGTCAGTGCACATCCTCTGGCCTAGCCAGATTTGTAAGGTAGAATTGGGATCATGATGGTGGGGGGAGGAAGCATTTAGGAAGTAGAGGAAAGTTGTATGTTTCATCGTTGCTACCCTGCACCCAGACTGGCTCGTCTATTATTGCAAAAAAGGCACGGAAGCCACATCTGACCTCCTCTGGCTTCCCTCTTGCAATGAGGCTGAGCTTAGGCCAACCTCCACCTTCCATCTTCTTTACCTATTCTGACACCAACTGCTTATGTCAGGGCACTCTCCTTCTCTACTGGGTTTGATAATCTGTTCCCCTGACCACAAGGAACTCACAGACGATACTCACAGTTCAAGGCGGTTTCTTATGGAATTTAACAAGTTACCACGAAGTAGGACCAGAAAATATAAAGAATACAGTCACTGACCCACAGCGACACCTCTCCTCCGTCACCACCCAAGTCTCTCTCTGGTCCTTAGCCTCGGAGCCACGTGGTCTCCGGGCCACTACCGCCATGAGCCTGCTGCTCTACCTCACAGTCCCATAGTCTCTGTGCCCTTCCTCTGACCTGGGTCCTCAGCTCCCGGCCTCAGCCTCTGCTCTTGGCCGGGCTCCTCCGCTCTGGACAATGATCCTGGTGCCACAGCCTGTGGTGCCTCTGGCTTCGGCTTCCAGCGCTTCAGACAGAGCTCGCTAACGGCTTTCCTGGCGACTCTCCTTCTTTCGTGGTCCTGCTTCTCTCTTTCCACAATGACTCCTATACACAAATGAATGTTTTGATTAAAATCTGGTTTTTGTTTTTTAAGGACCATACCCCCAAGGGAACAAAAGGTGGTGACTTGAGTCATACCCTGTACTAAAAGGCAGACGCACTCCATCCCTCCTTAGTCCTGACCACCAGCATTGCAGAGTTCACTCCAAAGTGAGATGATAACCACAGCACAGTGCTAGAATTTATGATGCATCAAATAGGGGATTTGCCTAGCAGGGCCATTATTGCCTGACCATGTCTCAGTTATACAGTCAAAATTTTATAGATGAACAGCTTGATTGTCTATTCTAACCCATAATTTTCAAGGATTGGTGTATTTGTAACTTGGACTCATTCATTCGAGGAAAAAAACCCAAACCCATGGCCATAAATTCCAATTCATGGTGGCCCTACAGGAAAGAGTAGAACTGACTGCCCGGTGGGGTTTTCAAGGCTATAAATATTTATGGAGGTAGACTCCCTAATCTTTTACCTACAGCGTGGTTTGTGGTTTCAAACCCCCTAACTTGCGGTTCACCCTCAAGTTCTTAACCACAGCTACCTGGGCTCCTTCTTGCACTGGATATAACCCGATTATGCTGAGGGGAGTTGGTAATAACCTGGACTGGTTTCCCCTGACAATATGGCCAAAGCATGTAAGACAGTCTAGCCATCCTTGCCTCTAAGTGGAACTCTGGCCTTATTCTCTTCCACCTCAGATCAGGTTATCATCTTACTAATCCACCATATTTTCAATATTCTCTGCACCACAATTCAGATGCATCGATTATTCTTTGGTCTTCCTTATTCAATGTCCAGCTCTCACATGCATATGAGGCAATGGAGATTACCATGGCTTGGGTCAGGTGTACGTTAGTCCTCAAAGCAACATCCTTGCTCTTCAGCACTCTAAAGAAGTTTTGTGCAGCAGATTTATGTAATGCAACATGGTTTTGACCTCTTGCCTGCTGCTTCTATGAACGTTGATTGTGGATCCAAGCAAGACAAAAATCTTTGAGAAGTTCAACCTTTTCTCCATTTATCATGACGTTACCTATTGGTCCAGTTGTGAGGATTTGGATCATCTTTACATTGAGTTGTAATCCATATTAAGGCTACAATCAATGATCTACATCAATAAGTGCTTCAAGTCCTCTTCACTTTCAGCAAGCAAGGTTGTGTCGTTTGCGTGTTGCAGGTTATTAAGCCTCCTTCCAATTCTGATGTCACATTTTTCTTCATATAACCAAGCTTCTCTGATGATTTGCTCAACATATAGGTTGAACAAGTATGATGAGAAATATTTTGCTTATGGAATTTTTTAAAATTCCAACTCAAATCTTGAATTTTTTTCTTCAAACATGTTTTTACAGTTTAAGACATGCTGATCATGTTCTGCTTTTTTTCTTTTTCTAATTCTAGGTCCTTGCACATCTCGTTATACTATTTGGCTTTGTCTTGAGCTGCCCTTTGAAATATTTTATTCAGCTCCTCGGCTTCATTCTTTCTTTCACTTGCTTAATTATTAAGAGCAAGTTTCCGTCTCTTCTGACATCCGCTTTGATCTTTCCTGTCTTTTTAATGACCTTGTGCTTTTTTCGTGAATGATTGTTTGATGCCCTCACACAGCTCATCGGGCCTTCTGTCATCCGTGTTCCGTGCATCAGATCTGATCTGGACATGTCTTCGAAATTCAGGGGGGATGGACTCAAGGTTGTATTTTGGCTGTTGTGGACTTGTTTTCATCTTCTTCAGCTTTATCCTGAAGTTACAAATAAACAACGATGGTCTGCTCCACACTCGGCCCCTGGTCCGGTTTTAGTTGCTGATATTGAACTTCTCCATTGTGTCTTCCCACAGATGTAGTCCATTTAGTTTCCGTGTATTCCATGTGGGAAGTCCATATGTATAGTCATCTTTTGTATTGTTGAAAAATGATATTTGCTATAAACAAGTCATTGGTTTTGCAAAATTCTTTCATGATATCTCCAGCTTCATTTCTATCACCATGTCTATATTTTCCAACCATTGATCCTTCCTCTTGTTTCCAACTTTTGCATCCCAATTACCAGTAACTAATAACACATATTGAGTGTATGTTTTATAAATTTCTGACTGAAATTGTTGAGATAATGCTTCATTTTCTTCATCACTAGCTTCTGTGTTTAATTAATGAATTTGAACAATTGTCGTATTGATTGGATTAACTTGAAAGCAAGTGGATATAACCCGGTCACAAACAGCATTGTACTTAATGGAGGATTTAGCAAGATCCTTTCTGTCAATGAATGCCGTGGCATTCCTCTTGATTGTGTTCTTCCTAGCATAGTTAATCATATGTATTTCTGATTCAAAATGGCCAATGCCAGTCCATTTCAGCTCACTAATGCTTCTGATATCGATCTTCATGCATTCCATTTCATTTTTGACCACCTCCAATTTTGCTAGATTCATGCTTCACACATTCCAAGTTCTGATCCTTAGGAGATCTTTGCAGCTGTGACTCTTTACCTTTGCCCTATCTGGAAAGGAAGAACCTGAAGACTCCACTCCCAGTGGCCTTTACCAGACTCATGTCACCGCAGTGGACTTCCCTCCTAGAATCAGCTCTTCTTCAGTCACATTTTGAGTGCCCTGGGACATGAGGGCCCTGTCTGCTGGCGACCTCTCCAACATGTTCTCATCTTGTGTTCAGACTTGCAGTCTTTGACAATGCTTTGAAGCCATGCATACGGGTTTCAGCCGCATCTTTCTCCCGAGCAGGAAAGCCAGACTCCTTCCTCGGCTGTTCTTGACCTGGAAGCTCTGCTGAAGCCTGTTCACTTTGGGCAACCTTTCCGGCATCTGAAACACCAGTGACAGAGCCTCCAGCATCACAGCAGTGCACAAGCCACCACAGGAAGGCAAAGTGACAGACAAGTGGTGGGACATTCCCTAAAAGCTTGTAATTAATTTACTTAGAATGGAAGAAAAAGTCTCCTTCTCCCTGACTTTTGTTGCTGTTGTTGTTTTCCTTTAGAATAACTAACAGGTTCTCTTCTTTCTTTCCGGCTCATTTTCCTCAGATTCTTCCCTTTCTCTTCTCTCTTTTTATATGAACACCCCTTCCCCCCTTTCCCCCCTCTTCTTCCAGACTCTTTGCAAGAAATTTCTTTTGAAATAAGTGGTTTTCAGTTCCAGTTAAGCTATATGTAAATAGGTAATAGGGAATGAAAGGAAATATCGTTAGATGTTTAATATAAGGTCTTGTTTTAGAAGTAACAGTAAAACTCACATAACAAGTAGAGAAAGATAATGACGCTGGTGGGTTTTTGTTTGTTTACTTGCTTACTTAGCATATTTCAGAAAGATCTGTATATTGTAAGGGAAGGAACATGTCACTGTAAGGAACATGCACTTATCGCATTCATATCCTTCTGCAATATCTAGGAAAACTTTTTTTTTTTAACTTTAAAATTTTTTATTTAAATCAAAATTTTAAAAAAATAATCGTTTTATTAGGGGCTCATACAACTCATCACAATCTGTATATACGTCATCTGTGTCCAGCACTTTAGTACATATGTTGACTTCATCATTCTTACGATGCCCACTTTCCACTTGAGCCCCTGGTTTCAGCTCATTTTTCCCTCTCCCTCCCCCCGAACCCCCG